GTTAATGTGTAACCTTGTTGTGCATGTTTGGAAGGAACATTGATACGAGGTTTGGCCACTTAGTAATGTGTTTTAATGGGACTCCTGGTCAGAAGAGAAAGTCAGAGTTTCTGGGAAAGTTTTGTGTGACGTGGCCCAAATTGCTGATCCCTGGTTTAGTGTGTTGTGTAAACCCAGCCTTAAGCTTTGAAGTCGGTAAGAGTGTGTGATTTTGATAGATGGTTCTCCTGCTTTTCTCATTCTGGTCTCAAGGCCAGTTTGTTGTCATTCATTGCAAGCCGTGCCATAAATATTTGCCGGTGTTTCAGGCAGGATCTAATAAGATAATTAGTCCCTACTTGCAAGCGTTTTTGTTCCCCTGAGCAGCCTGGCCACACCCCTTCAGAGCTGCTTCTCCATGTACCTTGAAAGGAATCATTTATTTCCTTGGAGGCATCATTTCTGTCTTTGGCACCATGAGTCACTAGGTCTCCTAAGAGCCAGTCAGGGTGGAGAATACCCAGAGGGCCAGGGGATCATTTAGCTTCAAATCCTTCTTGCAACGCAGAGCTGCTTCACCTAGACTTTGGGCATTCCTCATCTTCTCGATTGGGTGTTGCAGAGATCAGTGGAATAAGTGTTGTAAATTAATTTGCTTTGAAAAAAAGCTGCTGTAGAAATGATGCGTGAATAACAGGCTGCTGCTGTCTGTGAATTTCAGAAGTTGCAATCCAGCATTTCAGAAGAGTGGCCAGTGTTTCTGAAAATTCTTGATTGCAGGGGGACACCTCCTCCCCCAAAAAGTGCAGTTCATAAGCCAGGGATGGAACTGGCACCCACTTCATTACTTACTTACTGACCTCTGTAGCTATAGATTGGTTTCCAACCAAAAAAAGATTTTGATTTTGACTTTTGAATATCTATAGCAGAAATGGAGAATCTTGGATCATCTAAGGAAAAACGTCATGCATAGAGTGATGATGATGTTAATGACGATGACGGAATATTGACATGATCGATTGCTTCCTCGGTGATGACAAAAACAAACGTTCCTTTAATTTCCTTTTTAGGAAATCCACATAAGTTTCTCTGTTTATTCTTAGCTCATGCCTGCGCTCCTGGCTCGAGCAAGACACCTCCTGCCCAACCTGCAGAATGTCACTGAATATTGTAGACAACCACCACGTTCGGGAGGATCACCAGAGAGAGAACCTAGATGAAAACTTGCCCCCTGTGGCAGCAGCCGAAGGCAGACCTCACCTGAACCAGCACAATCACTTCTTCCATTTTGATGGTGAGTTCATTTCCTCTGGCGTCTTCACTTGACCAAAATATCTGGGCTATTGAGAAGACTCAGCAACTTGCATTGTTTTACTTCATTTATGTCTGTGAAGAGTTGTGGGGAATTTACTTACAGGCAGTAAGTACCTATTTTGTCTGTAGATTCTTATGATAGTTTCATACATCTAATTATTTTAAGCATAACCATTTAGCGGGCAAGACTCTTAATGGTCCACTAGGCAGCAGTGGGTGCCCGTGGCAGCTCCAAGGGGTATCTGAAACAACAAATTTAAATAAAAGTATTGCTTTTTAAAAAGAAGAGTCCAAACTCTTTCAGGATTTCCAAAACTCATGAAATCACGAGGAGTGTCATGAAATTTCACACAAAAACGCTGAAATCTTGTGAAATTTCGGCATTCTCATTTGAAAGCTGATCCTGGACCATAAGTAAGAGTGAGTCTATTCCAGGCATTCATCTAAAATCTCACAAGATCTCAGGTTGAGTTTGCTGAAAACTCACAAGATTTTGGCCAGTTTTTAAAATCTTTTTCTCTGTGTTTTTTTTTTTGGCACCCATGTCTTTGTATGAAATCCCACCATACCAGCCAAAAGGATTGGAAGGAAGGGCTGCATTTTCAGGAGTACTAGATGCAGATAGCCACAAAGATAATAGAGTTTCCTAGACAAGTTACAACATCTTCGTCTCACTGCTTTCTGGATTGTTACAAGAATAAAACCAACACCAGCCTTCCCCAACCCAATGTTCTTCAGATGTTCTGGTAGGGAAGCCTTGCAAGGTAGTCCAAACAAGAAGCACGCCCAGGATTACTAGCTCTATCTTTATTGTAAGGTTACATTAAAAGAATCTTGCAAGTCTGAAACTGTATCTTTCCCCCCTCACCTTTAAAGTCCAAGAAACTAAGGAGGGCCCCTTCGGAGACGTTTGCCACACTCCCATTCCTTCTGTAGACTCAGCTGCCTCTTATCTGACCATTGCCTAGTCTGCAGCTCTTCCTTCTGTCTCCCGGGTTCATTCCCACATACCATTACAACTTGATCATTGTTTGGACGTTACCAAAATAAACGTTGGCACTCCATACGTGAACCTATGTGGAAAACCATAGCAAAGAAGAATTAATTGGAAGGGGCCTTCAGGCATCTTTACTTCTGACTTCTCTTCTCCAGGGTCCCGCATTGCTAGCTGGCTACCAAGCTTTTCAGTTGAGGTGATGCATACCACCAACATCCTTGGTATTGCGCAGGCCAGCAACTCTCAACTCAATGCCATGGTGAGCCTCCCAGTTCATATTTTGCATGTTGTTATTTGTGTAAAGAAATCATTTCTGTAGCATCATCCATTTTTGGAGCCTCCAAAGGTTAACACCTCTCTTGTAGCATAAGCATTCACAAACTATAGTTCGTTCCTGTGGAATAAATTATTGAGAGGAACACATTTACCCAAACAGCAACGAAGATGAATCTGTTATTTTGTTGTTGTTAGATTTTGGCATTTGAACATTTTGGTGACAAATTTAAGTGGGACTGGCATTTTGGGGGGAATATGGTTGGTCCCCCCTGAAATTTACCACATGGAGAGCTTTCGATTTGTTTGTCTCCAAATAAGCCAGAATCACAGGGCCTGGTTTCTCCCTAGAGTTATGTAATATTCATTTCTTTTAGATTTCACCTTTCCTTCAGGAGTTCAGAGTAGTGTTCATAGAGGTTTGGGGTTTTTTTAGATTTTTTTATCCCGCCTTTATTATTTTTATAAATAATTCAAGGCAGTTCCCTCATTGTCAGCCCCACTAGGTAGACCTTAGTTCCCAACTAAGGCAGAATTCTAAACAGTTCCATCATAATAAAACAACTGAGCGTGACCGTTCTGTTCATAAGTTTTTTGATTCCATTCATTTATTTCTGATTTCCATTCATTCATGTAGATCAGGAAAGCTGGTGGTGGGCTTCACACGGTCACCAGAAGTCGCACTTCTGTTTCTTAAAAAACCCTGTCAGTATGGATGCTTGGAGATTTTGTAACTAAAGGTTGCCACTTTTGAATTCCTGAGTAATAACCATTTAAGCATTGTTTTCTTAGGCCCATCAAATCCAAGAGATGTTTCCCCAGGTTCCTTACCACCTCATTCTGCAGGATCTGCAGCTGACCCGCTCAGTAGAAATAACAACAGACAATATTTTAGAGGGACGCGTCCAGGTGCCTTTCCCAACACAGGTTGGTCAAACACAACAGACCGTGAACTGGGCAAGATACTTATATTCTGTATGTATAAGATTCAGGAATACTGTGTGCATTCTGCAATGTTGATATGTCGAAAGATTAGCTGTATTGAAACTGCACACACTGAATTCTCAGCTCCTTTTGCAAGGGTTGGTTAACAAGCACATGAAAGGACTTTAAGAGCCTGTGGGGCTGCTCCACCTATTTGGGGATGTTCTGCACGCTAGCATATTGTAGAACCGGTCTGGGATGAGCTGTGTGGAGTCTCCTCCACTCCAACCAGGCAACTTGTCCATCGTTGGCTTTACTTAAAAGAACCATAGGGTATGTTTTTTTGGGTAGCATGTTTAATATGCAGATTACTTTTCAAATTATTCTAGAGTCGAGGGCCTTGCCAAAAAAATAGGTTACTGTTTACTTTCCATCATCAAGGACACAAACTGAGTTCATAAGGTTGTAGCTTTAAGACAACACATTTGTTGTCCAAGAGACATAGGGAGCAGAATTGTTAGATTACTGCCAGATATTCTTTTGAAAGGAAGACGATTTTGTGGATTCATCTCTTCAATTTTTTTTTATTATTATTAAAATTTCATATGAAGCTTGGTGTATCCTTGTGTCTATATGTATTTGTGTCACCTGGTTTAATTGGCAGATAGATGTGTATAATAACTACATAAGAGGCTACCAGAGAGTTGTGGCACAAGAAGCGATCTTGGAATTGCGTCTAATCAATCCAAGCCTCCCGCGGCCTTGGGGTGGGAACTTCATGCAGGTTCTATAATACAGGATATGCTGCAACTTGGAGTGCTCAAAAAAAATTTCATGTTTTCCATATCAGTTAATTCTGTTTTTTTTTTAAAACATGTGCAGCGTTCTGACAGTATTCGACCAGCACTGAACAGTCCTATAGAAAGGCATAGTACTGATCAGGAAGATGCTGAAGAGGTCACTCAGGTAATGTGGCAAAGTAAAAAAAAGGAGGGTGTAATAGCAACACCAGTTTTCTCTGAGCTCAAGCTAAGCAGGGTTGGGCTGGGTTAGTTCTTGGATGGGAGACCCCCAGATATTCCAGAAAAAAAACATCCTGGAAGAAAGCAGGATCAAATCACTCCTGTATTGCTCTGAAAACAGCTACAAGGATGGGTTGAGCTTGACTCAGAGGAGGCAATGCTTTTATTACAGCAGAGGAGAATTGAATAGTAAATTGACTGCCAACATCTGTACAGGACTAGTTTTCTCTGTCGAGAATTGGATGAATCAGTTCCTTCTGGGCAGGGATGTCTTTGGGGTAGTGGGGTCAAGATGGTGGTCACAACAGCATGATCAAAGCCCTGCCCTTTTAAGGTAAAAATGCATGTTAAGTGAGGGCAGGAATCATGCAGTCACAGCTAACATCTTGACTCTTAACAGCCCCCCCCCCCGACATCTCTGCTTCTGGGTAAAAGATATGAAGAGGATGTCTTAATAAATGTCTGTGCTGGGGCTATGTGGGTGTTTCCTTCTTTTATTTTTGCAGGAGAAATGGGTGGGACATCTCTGTAGTCACGAAGAAAAGTTTTTTCTTTAATCCTAAATTCTTGAGCAAGGAGACTTGGCTCTTGGCTATTAAAAGGGGATGTTGGAAAACCCTGTTTTGTTACATATTAGTGAGAGCCGGTATTAAACTTCTGGAGCCACATCAGGAAATCTGGTTTCCTCCAGCAGCCCTCACCAGCCCTGCCAGTAGCGAGAGATGCTGCGAGTGATACCTTCACAACTTCTGCGGGGTTTACGTCTGCAGCTTCTCTCTCTCTCTCCTTGATTTGTAAATTGACACATTTTTTACAAAGTGCTAAAGAGCTTAAAATGTAAACAAAACATACAAGCATATAGAGTGGGAAATCCATCAGGCATCCAGGACCACATCCATATAGAGTATAAGCACTCCCCCAAGATGCGTGGGGACTCTGAAAAACGTACGTACAAGCCCCGAGATATCTCCAAAAGTTGTTGCCAAGTTATAATTTGGAATGCATCAGAGAGAGTCATTCAGTAACAAATACATAGTAATATTAATTGTATTTGATGTCAGTTGAATGCAAATAAAATGGAATTTAGTTTTTCTGCTGGCCCTGCTCACTTCTTTATGGAACGGGTTGCTCAGCCCTGCCGGTGAGGGTTCTTGGGTCAACAGATGCACCTTGAACTTGGCTTGAAATCTACCTGCAGCCGGTCTAGCTTGTCCTTAAGTGACTGAGGATGTTGCTGGTTAGGTGACCCTTTCCACATCCTTGTCACCTACAGGATCTGGGGCAGCTCTGGCAGGGATGTTGAACTGAATGAAATAATCCTTGAGAAGATCCCAACTGTTAGCAGTCAGGCCCTACCTTTGCTGCGCTTTCTTTTAAGTTTAGACATTTTAAAAGTTTCAATTGTAGGACTGCTTCCATCTTAGCAATTTTCTCACCTGCTATTTCTTTGCTGAATTTGTGTGTGTGTGTGTGTGCATTTTTTGGTGCACTATTACCAATTTCCTCCTCTCATGCTCTGTGGCGTCCCAATAATAAATGTATTGGCTGAATGAATGCAAACAGGCATATCTTTTCTTTTTCCCTTTCCTCCTACATGGTAGACTGAAAGAATCCCGCTTGAGCTCAGCTCAAGGCTGGAAGAGATGGCAGAATTTAACGAGATGGAAGCAGCAGAAGCTGCCGAGACGGAGGACTTCGAAGTGAGAGGCAGTCGCTTCTCCAAGTCGGCTGATGAAAGGCAGCGGATGTTAGTTCAGAGGAAGGAAGAGCTGTTGCAGCAGGCACGCAGGTGTGTGTCTGGGGGAGGCTCTGTGCACGCGCGATCTTTCCTGTCCCGTGATTGTAAGCGAGGCCTAAGTGTATGAGAGAGCAATAGCAAAGATGTGTTCAGCAGCACAGAACAAAAAGACATAGAAAGAGAGGCTGGCCAACCTTTGGTGCAAAAAATGGGAGATTTACAGAGCTGCATTTTATCACACATTCCCTGTTCTAAGGGAATAAGGGCAGTTATTATGAACTAGAAATTCACAGTTTGAAAAGTGTGCCTGTTCAGTATGGCTTCCGTTAGTCAAAGTCTCCAATTTTTATTTATTTATATGTGTGTGTGTCTGTGTCTGTCTGTCTGTGAGCTCTCTGGATATCCTTGTTCCCAGTTGAAAAGAGGGGTGTACAACCTGCAGTCCTCAGAGATCCCTCCATAAGTTATTTCTCAGTTAAAAGTAAAATACACCCAAAAGGGAAAATTAGATGCGTGGTTGAGAGTTGATCATATTAGCTATATTTGAATACCAGTTGAACAGGAATATGTTTCATTTCTGTCCGACCCTGTTGAAGGCTAAGCCTGATCTAAAAGAAAGTGCAGAGTCTTGTTTCTAAAAAAAAAAAAAAAGGCTGCCACATTTACACCCTTGTGCCCTTCCCAGCTAGTGCAATAAGGGTGTAGTTTATAATTGAGTTATCAGCACAAAACATTCCCCCTGCTATAGGAGCTCTTTTGCGTTGTGAGCTGGCTTTCTATGCCCTAATCTGCCTTCTTGATTGGGATCAACTGGATTGGATGGTTGGCAGTAGCTCGCATTATCCTCAATCAGTTGGTCCAGTGAGTTATGAGAACTGTAGTAAAAAAAAATCTAGAGGGCACTAGGTTGCCCTGCCCTGCCTACTGCCTGCCCTTCTGAGTTGGTGGGCCTGATTATCTAGCAAGCAGGTTGACTTTCTTCAGACTCTATGATTCCAAAGCAAAGAGGTGTCCAAAAGTTTGGCCAAGTGTCCAACGAGAAGATTCAGCAAAAAGAAATCTCAGGTTTGGAATATAGGGAGCAAGGAGTGGACTGGAGGTATGTTTTGACACTCCTTAGGTATTGTGTGATTGATCTGGATGAATCTGCCATCACTCTGGAATCCGTAGTTGCCCTGTGTGTGTGGCTGAGGACCCTGACTCTGCGTACGTGTGCCTTGTAAGTGCCAAGCACAAGATTATCTGCAGTCAGTCTTAAGAAACTAAGAAGCATGCTGAGATTGAACCGTCTGCTCCGGGACGCTGTTTCAGAAAGTAGCCAATTTAGTGCATTTAGAAGG